ATTAAATATTATCGTATTAGACTTATCAAACCAAGGATTGAGAAATTCTAGCTGTTGCAGTACTTCATATGTACACTATGTTAGTAATATAACGGATTTGAGCAAGGCATTGCTAGGCAACAGCTCGGTAAATATGTTTCAAAACACGCGCCACGCAACAATACGGTGGAAGTGTTTTCTACGTGATCCGCGCCACGCAACAGTATGAGTGCTGTGTTTTCTGCATTGTCCGTTCCGTGTCTATATAACGGGAATATGTTTGCAGCTGAAATTAGATTAATTTATTAGGGATTAGTACAAAGTCAAGACTAGAGAGACTGGAGATATGCTGGCGATAGAATTGGAGAATCAAGTATAGTTCTGGCGAATCGGCAGTCCAAGGTGATTGAACAAGAAATGGCAAGAAGACTTCATAGTGATTTGAAGTGCTAGTTTCTGTGTTGAGATCCGTTGCTAGGAGGCGACTAGTAGAAACTGAGAATCCTAGCATGTGCAACGGTGAACTGAAAAGTGTGTAAACCAGCGATAGCGCTGTATTGATTGTAATTAAGAGCGACTGTAACCGAAGTGCCAATAAATCCAATCATCCGGTCTAGAGCCCGTCATTTTTGCCACGCGTACCCCTCCCTTCCATACGTGACAGTATGTATATAAGCATAGAAGGATACGAGTATGTTACGTTATGGCGGGACAGTTCTCATTCTTGCTTGCTATACTGGAAAACAGAAAGGGATAAATTATTTCACCCGAGTGTGGAATCTGATAGTTTTTGCCCGAGATTTATGCAATTTCATTAGAACTGAGGCAGGAATATCGCTGGATCCCCTTTGTACAGGAAGCGACTAGGCACGTCGCAATCACAAATGAAACATTTCCAATAAGAATGTGCTAAGAACGTATTCTGAAACATACATTTTATAACGAAAAAATGTCTTTTTTCTTTCTGTCTTATCGCGTGCTGAGAGAATAGTGGAAAACTCTTTTGGGGTCCGCAGTCGACGATTTAAGATATATGACAAACTACTAAAATATAAACAAAAAAATGCGTACCTACAATTATTCTAACTACGAATGGAGTCGGAATAGCTCAGTCGGTATAGCGACTGGCTATGAACTGGACGACCGAGGGCTTGCAGTTCGAATCCCGGTGCAGTCAAGCATTTTCTCTTCTTCACGTCGTCCAGACCGGCTCTGGGGCCCATCCCGTCTCCTATCCATTGGGTACCGTGGGAATTTTATCGCCTGGAGTAAAGCTGCCGGGGCGTGAAAATGACCACTCATCTCTAACTAGTGCCGAGGTCAAGAAAACGTGAATTTATACATCCATGGGGATGACTTTACTTCCAACTACGTGTATTCGACGCACCTTTTTTTCTTTCCTTGGCACTACAGCCGCAGTGGGCCTAGGCCTAGCTCCATGAACTTCTCAGTTCGCTTCGGTTTTTTCTAGATCTTACACATTCGGTAGGACTCCTTAGGCGGGTGATAAGCTCGTCGCACATCTGTCAATTAGGATAGGAATATTTTCCCCCTGTAAAGGTGCGTCGTCCCATTCAGGGCATGGATGTTTAGTTTGTGTGTGTGCGTTTTTCTGTGTTTGTCTACAGGTGGAGGCCTTGCGACGAGCTGATCACTCGCCCAAGGGGTCCTACCGTATGTGTAAGATCGAGAAAAACCGAAGTGAACGGAGTTCATGGAGGTAGGCCTAGGCCCACTGGGGCTGTAGTGCGAAGGGGGGAAAAAAATAAAATTGACAGACGAAAATTTTTGTTTGGAAAGCCTTCACACACAAATTGGTAGTGTTCAGGACCAAGCTTCCTACGTGAAGGACGCTTGTGTTTTTCCTTAATGGGGTGGGACTGAGTCCACTTCTGGCCTATTGTACCAGCCCCAGATGGTAGATGAGGGTGATTGTGGAGCAATTGGTGGAATGAAGATTGGCAGGGGAAACCGAAGTACTCGAAGAAAACCTGCCCCAGTGCCACTTTGTCCGCCACAGATCCCACTTGACCAGACCCGGGCTCGTACACTGGCCGTCGCGGTGGGAAGCCAGCGACCACCCGCTTGAGCTATGGCGCGGCCTTGAAGGGCCCTTACAATACTTTCGGTTTCTGTGAAGGAGAGCTATTAAGGAGAGAAAACTAAGTGTGACATAATGCGATATTACATATACGTGTACAATATGATATACTGCAGCTGTTGCATCGAAATTTTAAAAAGAATCTGTTTCCACTATTTCTTCTCCGACCTTCCAGCAAGGTTTGGCTGAATCGCAAAAACAGTCGCAAAAATGCGCTTATTACGTTCGTCATGTTTGTCTGTCAGTGTGTAAGAACTTCACAGCCTCCAAAAGGGTTTTCATGCAAGTAAGTAAAGAAGTAAGTGTTCATTCAAAGACGCTGTTAGTATCGAGACTGTACAGTCTAGATTAAAAATTTATGATCAGTGAACACAGAGCAGATGGTAGAATAAGAATTGGCAGGGGAAACCAAAGTACTCGGAGAAAACGTGCCCCAGCCCAACTTCATCCACCACAAATCCAACACTGCAGCTTTCCAGGCTGATACATCATTTACCGTCCGTGGTTTCGAACTAAGGAAACTTATGTTCTTGGTATTTATTTGACATATTATCAACTGAAAGCTGATGTGGTATTGATGCTTGCTGTACGCTTACTTGGCTCACTCTTCAATTTTGAAGACTGACGCATTACGTTCCTTCGAAACGTCGATAACACTATATCAAACTACATGACGTCACTTATCAGGACATTCTCCTCTTCAAGGGTAAAACGATTTTAAATGTTGCAAGTCCAGTTTTCATTGGCAGTAAGTTACTTGAAATAGCAGACTGCGCACGTTTCAGAACTGAATAAAAATAAAAATTATTTCTGACCGTAATTTTTTATTAAATCATTCCTGGTGGTAGATATCCCAGTTTCCATACATTTACAAGAATCGTCTAGATTTTACAGTTTCATGCAGTCTACTTTTTAATGCAATTACACATCTTAATGAATGTACAAGGTTTAATGACACACGCAATAAAAATATTTAGTTGTTTTGGAAACTGTTTCAACTCTTTGTGGTACGGATCGCAAATTAGGGGTAGCGAAGTACTCAAGCATACTGGCCAGTACAATGTTATAAATCTCAGATTATTCTATAACACTTCAGGATTATGTAAGATTTTAGGCTTTCACGGCGGTGACTATGAAGAAAGCAGTCTTCTGGGATTTGGCACCGTGTATATGTGGTGTTAACCGACGTTTCGGAGGAACGTAGCGCCTCCATCTTCAGGGTAGAAGGAAAATATAAGAAATCCGCAAGCGAAGAGACCGTGAGAACCGGTAAAAGCGTGCCTTTACGTTCCTCCGAAACGTCGGTTAACACCACATATACACGGTGCCAAATCCCAGAAGACTGCTTTCTTCATAGTCACCGCCGTGAAAGCCTAAAATCTTACATAATCCTGAAGTGTTATAGAATAATCTGAGATTTATAACATTGTACTGGCCAGTATGCTTGAGTACTTCGCTACCCCTAATTTGCGATCCGTACCACAAAGAGTTGAAACAGTTTCCAAAACAACTAAATATNTGTTTGTGTGCGTTTTTCTGTGTTTGTCTACAGGTAGAGGCCTTGCGACGAGCTGATCACTCGCCCAAGGGGTCCTACCGTATGTGTAAGATCGAGAAAAACCGAAGTGAACGGAGTTCATGGAGGTAGGCCTAGGCCCACTGGGGCTGTAGTGCCAAGGGGGGGGGAAGTTGTCCCTGTGCTTAATTAATTAAGCACCACTTCCTGAAGGCGTATGTTGGAGTGAAATTATAGCTCCTTCATTCTTGACCTTGGCACCAGATGGAGTGAGTAGTCAGCTACACGCCCCTGCCACTTTACACCCACGGAACGAGCTCCTGTTACCCATTGGATAGGTTGTGTGGGCTCCAGATCCTTTCTAGACGTTGTGGAGCAGAGAAAGATATCTTGCCCCCGCCGGGAATCGAACCCCGACCTTTCAACACAGCCCGTCGCTGTACGAACCGAGCTATCCCAGCTTCCGGTGGAACAGTAACCTACTTTAAAGTAGGCAATACAGCTTTTTTTTCTTTTTCCAAAATGTTCTTGACTATTCAGCCTTTATCTTTAAATCATTCATCTTGAAAGCCAATGTAATAAAACGCTTTGGAAAGGTTAAATAACTGTAATTAAGAGAGTGCTATTTTGTGCTTTCTGAAGCGGCAGTTATTTCGTTGCTAGAGACATGAAAGTTCAAACTGGTGACCTGGACGCTAAAGTCTCGTGGTGAAATTGTAGGATCCAACTTCACAGTGCCGATAATTGGATCCGATAGTGGCAGAAATCGTTCCCTTTTCCCTGAAGGCAGTGCGTTAATAAAACGTCGTTGACATTCCAGTCACGCTCTGAGCTTTATCTATCATTATCACGCGCTAGGAAATGTGATTGAATAGATGGAACGTCGAATTGATTGTACGAAAATGCCGCATCGGCCGAGAGCTGGACAGACCTGGCCGCCTGACCGTCTTGAAGGAGCGAAGCACGCACTCGTTTTCATTCACAAGTCATGCGGGGTTCTCCGGGATCTTCCCCCCTCCCACAGTATACTTTCCCCTTCACCCCACTCCTCTCGGGACATTGCATCGACGAGAGCCAATCATAGAGCGGCCGAGCTTACTCCTCGTGGAAGAGTTTATTCTCATCAATGAGCAGTAGGGGGCACTGATGTTTTAGGAACAAAGTAACTGCACGGGGGTGCTTCTGTTATTTGGTGATAAGGGCAAGGAGATATTATAATTAGCATTGAGTCGATAAAGCAATTTGACAAAGAGATAGCATCCATGTAGAAATAGCAGGTAAGTGAGTGAGAAATAAAATGGATTTCCTGCGGGAAACCCCTCTCCCAGTGCCGGAGTGGCCTCTTCCATCCACTCCATTTCAGCTGACTACCGTACTCGTGTACGGCGTCCGGGCTGGCGCTTGGTCGTTTCGTAGTAGTAAGATGATGGGGGCGTCAGAGTAGTGTTCAGTGTGCCGGGCTTGCGGACAGTCGCATTATACGCGCAGACTGCTAGCTTCCACTGCAAAGCGGTAGCCCCGGGATGACGGAAGTAGAGTTCTCGCCCCCCGTCAAACAAATGTAGGCGGTATGAGCGTGTGACGGTGTTTATTTCTCTGGGGGAAACTAACCTATAAACTGTAGTTTGCAGCGAGTCCTGTGTTTTGTACCCTTCCCGATCGAAACCGGACCCCCTTCTGTTCTGGCCCCGGCGGAGAAATATGCTTAAGTTTCTCACTCACAAACTTAGGACACATTCTTTGAATGAAGATCAGCCGCACCAGGATAAGGTAGGCTGCTTGGATTATGTGATAAAATTATCATTTTTCCCGGTCACCTTCCTTGAAGGTCATACCAGGGGCCTGGCTGGCTGGCAGGCATAGCCTAAGATGGCTGCCGTGTCGAGGTGGAATCTAGAACAAAGAGCTCCATACTACTCTGTGCTTTTCTGAATTCCCTGAGCTGCCAGTGCTTGTGGCAAGCTGCCGCAAAGTGAATCTAAACTTCGGCCGCGATTTGCACAGGCAATTTCGCTGCTAGCTTCCATATTGACTTTGCAATTGTGATTTGAATGAGTGCCAACACTTTAAAGATGGCTGACAAGGATTTTGTGTTCTCTCTTTTCAACTTTTAGGCAGACGACGACCACGATTCCGGTACAGAATCAGACGACGAGCACGGGGAGACGGAAGATCAAGAAAGCAGTGAGTAAAAATACTTTTAATTTTAGCCTTTCACTTTCGTAGAAACGTAATGCATTCCACGGGGTTGTACACATACTGCCTAGGAACGTTTTACGGATTTAAAACGAAGTTATTTTGTGGTGACCGTTTGTTTTCATTCCATAATGGAACGTGAAAATTGTGTGGCCTTCATTATAATCTCTATACAGATATTGATTCAGGACAGCGGGCAGTCAGGATATTGACGATGTATGTAGTAGTGCCTTGGTTTCGTACCAGCTGTTCAGGCATCTCTATTATTTATTCAACATGCCAAGACTCCCCACGTAGTTTCGAAGAAAAATATGTTTGTCTGCCAGTGTGGTTAGAAGTGCAAACGTAGTTGTGGAAATTATGTAATAGTTTTGTTGGGAGTGATGACATGGTGTGTGCTGTGACGAATTTATAACGCTCCCCCGCATAGGTATGTGGCTGGAGTAATGCGTGTGTAATTTAATAGTTGAGAATAGTCGTGAAGAAAATGTATTAATTGGCCCTAAAATTTATATTCTTACGAGGATTGAGATTGTGGTTCATAAACATTCATCTCGATCAGTTTGATCGGAAATACCACCCACCGACGCCAAACAAATAAAAGTGGCAGTTGTTTATTTTCGAAAGTTTCCTGCATTCGCCAAAACCTTTTATCCATACGCATTCGTTAAATATATTTGTCGATTGAATGTTAGGACAGTTTATTTGTATTGAATGTCATTTTCATCAAAATTATTATATTGATCTTGGTGTTTCGGTTGAAGACGACAATGCTGTCTGCTGATTTACGCATTTGTGTGAGTTCCGTCTTGATTCCTAAAGACAGTGCTTAACAGTTAGTTGCAAAGGAGAATGTACAGAAATTTCTTTTGTTCTTTCTGTTTCAAACTTTTACACATTTTTATCATTTATCTGTAGTACACAAGCAAAGATATTTTCAAACTGCCGTCATTTTTACTGGGAAAGATTAATTTAAAAGAATATAACTCGTAGAGGATTATGCAGACAAAAATTAAAAATTATTATTTCTTGTATTTAAAAAAATCGGTTTGTTTGGTAATTTGTTTCTTTGTTTGCATTTTTAAACCCCTTACCCTTACAAGACTGATGTTAAAGAAAACCTCCAGCCTAGATCTGAATTTTAATCTCAGAGCGTCATTACAGGAATAAGATACCGGTAGTGTATATACATTTTTAAAATACGCTGTGTTTATGTATTGAATTTGTGTAAAGGGTATGATTTGTTGCTCTTCACTTATGTCACCAACGCACATTAATGTGTCGTCACTCTTTTAAACTGGCATTTATCTTTATCTTTTATAAGTAGGAAGTGTAGGAAAGTTTACACACATGTGTTACTTTTGCCCATATCAGCTTAAGATTTTTTATTGTTGTAACAGTTGCACTGAAAGACCCATCTCTTTAGTAAAGCGATTTTAATCCGTGTGAGTGACCACGCAGGACCTAACAAATATAAATTACTTTTGTGCCTTATTAGAATTTGCCAAGGTATTCAGAATCAGTATTTAGTTGTGACATGCACACGTAATTTGTTCCTGTGCTTAAGTGGCCATTTTAGTAGTTTGCTTAATTTCACTTAATATGAGGCTTACTATACGAATTTTCTCCTTCTATAAAACTAAATTACGCCTTTACCATAGAAATTGTAACGTTTCTGACAAAATTCAGATTTGAGGTTCTCACAGCGGTGGTTGTAAAGAGTCTTCCCGCATATAGCGCTGTATAGTCCGTTGAAAATCAGCCTGACTTTTCGGAGAACCATGTGGCCCCCATCTGCAGAGTATAAGGATAAGCCAAACAAGAAACTACCATTAAGCACGGCTTGTTACCTGCTTCTTTCTGTTTTAGCCTGAAGATGTTTTTTTCCGAAGCGTCGGTTCATTTTTAACGGACTACACTGCATTATTTCCTTGAAGATGTAACGATGTAATATCTGTAGTCCGAAAACCACCAGGCTTTATGGATGTTCTAGAATTTATTTCGATAATGCGAACAGTTAACAAATTACTACTGTACTTCCGGTTGTTGTATCAAATGTGTCCGGTCTGCGTGTGTCTTACGTGGTTCTGGACTTCCATCTTGGAACTCTGTGTAAAGTATGTTAAACTTGGCTTGACCTTAGGAGTGACAGAACAAAGAGAACCATGGAAGGGGTGATGAGAAGTCCTGTTGTATGTAATGCCTATTTCCGGTTAAGGTGATCAATTTCCCGAGAAGTGATTCAGTGGAATGTTAACAGCAGTTACCTATAGTCAAGGTCACATTCAAGGCCCGTACAGAAATACGCGTACGATAATGTGAGTCGATAACTCGCAAGTGAAAAATTTGAAACAGACAAGCATTACTTGTTTGACTTGTCAAAAATCTCATTGGATAGCAGCAAACAATGTTCCCTTTGGATTAAGGGATGATTCACTAGATTGGAGAATTCGTGACGAAATTTCCATCAGAAAATCGACTGCCGATTTTTGCACGAAACCTCACGACTGTCTTCAACGGGGAGGAGTCTAGCGTTACACACTGCTTCGAAAGGGAGACTGCACGAAAACCGGGTATTCCATCTCGCTGAGAGGTATAAAATCACAGGCTCCCGATAACAAAGCTTCTTTGTGTGTCTCAGAGTGTTCTAAATTGTCATCTTGAAAGAATGACAAAACGGCACTATGTAAAATTCACATAGTTGCGTTATGTTCTCCGTGTAATTACACAGATTTTAATTTCTGGTCATATGTTGCTGTCTTATTTAAAGACATGTCAAGATTAAGTTGACCTTGTGCTTAATTAAGCGCCATGATATGAAGACGTATTGGCATATTCTTACACTCGGCGCAAGATGAAGTGGTCCACTTCATGCACCGGCTTCTTTACCCCGGGAGGGAGCCTAAACAGGATGCTGGTTGGGCCCTAAACCTGAACTAGACCAGGTGGCCAAAGTAGAGAGCCGATCCTCTGCCGGGAATGGAACCTTCGTTGTCTAGCCCACAACCGATCAGTATGCCTGAGTCCCGGCTTATTAGTTTTCGAATTAAAGTGAAATTTGAATACAAAAATGATACTTTATAAATTGACTTAATTATTCAAAAAAATAAGACCAGTGTGGAGGCGGGTTAGAAGGTCTCTATCATAGCCCTGAGAGTCGTAGACGGCGACAAAAGGGGAACACGATGCATGGGGATAGTTTTTAGTTAGTTTCTTAAGGTGTGGCGAGACTGAGCCCACTTGGTACGTCGGACACTAATTGGCCTCTTGTACCAGCCCCGGATGGTAAATGATAATGAATGTGGAGCAGTCGTTGGAATGCGAATTGGCAGGGGAAACCGAAGTACTCGGAGAAAACTTGCCCTAGTGCCACTTTGCCCACCACAAAACCCACACGACCTGACGTGGGCGACTAACCGTCCGAGCTTTGGCACGGCCCTGCTTCGGGGTGTAACTGAGCCATTCTTTCTCTGGGGGACATGAATACAGAGCTGGTCCTCCAGGTTGGGAGCTGGACGCAAGACTGACTGTGCAGAAAATCTATTGTTGCGAAATCCAGATAAGTGCAAACTGGACGGTCGCATCTGGCAGAATCATTTCAGGAAGGCTGTGGCTCAAAGAGGGCTGCTTTGTAAATGATGGTGAACAAATATTTTTTGTCTATACTTAGGTTTTAGTATCAGGAGTTTTCTTAGATAGGATGAAATTAGTGAAAACACTATTTTTTATTTTGTTGAGTTTATCATTTTCACTTCACATAATTATACGTTTCTACCTGCGTTATGCTGGTTTCTTGCTTGGCTTATTCTTCTTCCCTGAAGATTGAGGCGATATATTCCTCCGAAACGTCAGTTCACTTTCAGCGGGCTACACGGCAGTATATCCCAGAAGACAGAAATATTTATAGCCACAGCTCTGGCTATATTTTGAACGTACTTTTATAATTGATGTTACGTTGATATATTCAATGGTATTCGCGTGTAGTATGTTACAGCCTTTGTGTGGAACATTGTTGCCAAGTCGATAAACGCTGTGGACGTATTTAGCAGATCAGAGATACGGCACACTTAATATTTATTACCAGTGACACGATTAAGGTATTGGTTAAAATGTAAGCCCAGGCCAAGGTAGGATTGAAAGGGGGGGGGGGTTATCAGGTCCATTTGGCCCTGACCCCTGACCTAGAGGGGCCCAAATATACTCGTATTTAATTAAAAAAATTTAAGAAGTAAACAGCGATGTGCGAATTGTGTTTAATTTAGTTGTTTGCATAGTATCCTTGGCTTTTCTTGTTTACATTGTTTAGATCATAGAAAAATCGAGTGTTTAAGCAATGTTTATATTAATATGGCTTTCGGAATGGAGTGTGGGCCCCAAATTTGTAACTGGCGTCCGCTCTACTCACCTTAGGCCCTGTGTAAGCCTACTAGCTTTCTTCAAGTTTTTAAGTGCTGTGTTAGTGTCGTTATTTTAGATTGTGTCTTGTCCCGAATTAAGTAATATCGCTTTTAAACTAAGGCGGGTAATATTTAAAGAGAACAGTTCTGCAGTACAGCAGATTTGAAACTTAAGCATTATGTGCAGATAGGCCAAGTCGTTTTGAATGTGCGAACTCCAGCGAGGACGTATGAGGCCGGCTTTTACTGTTGTTAAGTAACGACACTTTATTAGCTGTGTGGATAATGTGAACAGAGGCAGGATGAATGTGTATTATGAATTAGAGAGAAAGTAGAATTAAGCGGTCCTGCCGATTTTAATGCATGAAGAACTGGATGACTAAGGCAGGGTCTGCATGTATCATACTTGTAATTGTCAGGCCAGACCAGTGGTTCCAAAGTAAAACTTCCCTTCGGCCGCATTTAAAAGCTGAAAAGACGTTCTGTGTCCAAACAACTTAAACACATGTAGCTTTTCACATGTAATTCTAATGGTAAAATTGGCTGTGCTTAATTAATAAGCTCTGTGCCATGAAGACATGTGAGGCAGTG